GGTGTTTGCTCATAAGAGGAAAAAAATGTAGAGAATAAAATGTTATCCTATAAACTGCTTAATCAGAAACAGTCACAGGTATGCACGTGTACCAATAGTGCATGTTGAATTACAGCCTCAAAAGATATCCATCTGGGCTATGGATGAATGTTTACAATTATGTGAGACTGGACAGTAGTTATAAATGTGTTTGAACCAATAATCTAATTATTTGCAGCTATTGCTTACTTCTGTAGCCATGGAGCTCCCCTTATGATTCTGCTTTTTTATGCTTCAGCTTTATGATTTCTTATGGTTGTTACTAATTTTAGATTAGAAGGCTAGTAGAATTTCATTTATTCAACATCCAGCTTCTATCCTATGCCAAGCATTGGGCTGGAGACTATGGACACAGACAAACAAGGTAACACTTCTTGCTTTCCAGAAGCTCCTTGTGCAGTGCAAGGAAGAGGCTTGGAATAGTTTTAAATAGCATCTTATTAAAGGTCAGATGTGCATTTTAGAAAGGTGATCCTAGGACAGGGGAAGGATGGAGGCAGAGAGCTCAGTTAGGAGGCTGGCATCATGGTCCTGGGAACTGATGCTAAGGTCCCTCCCTGATGGGCGCTGAGGAGCTAGGTTTGCCCTTATATCAGCATCCTTAGCTGATTTCCCTGCTTTTTTGCCTTTTTTTTTTTCCTTTTTCTTTTCCCATCTGTCTGTCATTCACAAACTTAAAAGATTCTCAGGGGAACGTATTGGTCCGTCTTGTGTCCTCCTAGGCAGGAAGCATTCACAAATTGTTCACAAGGAAGGTGGGACCTGGAGCTCCTCCTGTCCACCAGAGGGGGTGAGCTTTCACTTTAGGACAGATTGAGTCTTCTTTTGGTCTTTGTTGGAAGATAGCTTTGGAAGGTTCACAGAGTTCTGTGGTTAAAGTGTATTTTTCTCCTCCTTTGTAAAGAAGAAATTTTAAATGAAAATTTATGTCTTTTTATTGAAAATCTCAGATCTTTAGCTGGTCTTTTTTTCTTTCTCTAGTTTATGTCTGGCCTATATCAGAAGACATTTGAGAGGACGACATAAGAGCACACACTTAATAGAATAAAGTAAAGATTTTAGACAAGAAACTATATCAATCTTTTTGTTGTTTTAAATGCCATGAAGCCAGTTTACTTTCTGATTTAATATTCCTCTCTTTCTACTTTTCTCACTCTCCCTCAATTTCAACCAAAAGGTAAATATTTTAAAATTAGATGGTGTTTTACCAAGGCTTCCCTTGTGGCTCAGCTGGTAAAGAATCCACCTGCAATGTGGGAGACCTGGGATTGATCCCTGGGTTGGGAGGATCCCCTGGAGAAGGGAAAGGCTACCCACTCCAGTATTCTGGCCTGGAGAATTCCATGGACTGTATAGTCCGTGGAGTCGCAAAGAGTCAGACACGACTGAGCAGCTTTCACTTCACTGACTTTTACCAAGGATGTAACAAAAATACTTTGGCTATCAAAAATCCTCACAGAATGAGCAATGTTGACTGAATTAGATAATATAAAAAATTTTCCATACCAAAGTCAGCCATGATTTACTTCATGATTCACTTTGATGGGTATGGGTTAGTTTAGGTACATTTTCTTCCCCCTGAAGTGAAACAAGTCACTTGTTGAACTCTACGAGACTTAATAATAGTGATACGTTATTTAGTAAGTACCATATAATAAGAACTAATCAGAGCTGGTTTGGTTATGATAAACATAGATTAATTCTGGAATTAGAGCTTTGCTTTATGGCGTAAACTGGTTCATATCTTCAGAAGATTATATGTATTTTTCCACTTTATTTCCAATAGCACTGCAAGCTATTGGACCAGGCAGGGAAAATTTTACTGTCCTCATCATGTTTAGAGCAGTTTGAAGAGTTGAAAAGAATGTAAAGGGTAACCTTGTGGGAAAGGCTGGAAAAGTGGTTAATCCTACCGCCTCTGTTTTGGTGATTTAAAGGGTAGCATATAGGAGGGGTTCTTTTTATAAGTATATGGACTGCTTTTTGTTTTTAACACTAGTTTTTTTCTGTGGACTATGCAGATGACTTAAACATATTTTATTATAAATTTAGAATATGCCTTGTGACACATTAGTCTCTTTAGGTCTTCATTTCAACCTCAGTGTGGCTGAGTTTAGATTATCATAAAATCGATGGGTTTGCCTATAAGAGGGAAGAGATGGGACAAAGTGGAGAGGTGGTTCTCTGCTCACTTTAGTGTATCTTGACAGTGAGTGATTCTGTCAAGAGCTACACAGTGGAGGCTAGAAATCTGGGAGTTATCTACCCTAAATATTTCATCCTTTTCCTACCATCTGGTCAATCACAATTTCTGCCATTTTTTTGCTTCCAAAATTTTCTGAAGTTGTTCCTTTTCTCTTCATGTAGTAATTACTCTGTTTCATGACCTATATCTCATTGGGCTTCCATATCAACTTCCTAACTCGGATCCATTCTCCACATAGCACCAGTGACTGTGTAAAATGGAGACTCACACTTTTCTGGCTGTGACCCTCAGTAAGGAATCCACATTGTATTGCAACCCAGGATACGTATGAATAATTAAAACAAAATTTTCATGAAAAATTCTTGGCATTTACCATGTGCTGTGCAATCTGATATTTTGTTTGTTTTTAAAAGATGTTGTTTGACACTCACTAAATTGATCCCAGAATTGGAAAAAGACTGATCTGAACATTAATGTAACCATGTTGTTTAAAACTCTTTTGATGGCTTCTTACTGCCTTCATGATGATGCTGAAGCTCGCTAACATCACATGCCAGAACCTTTATGACTCAACCCTTAGCTGGCTCTCCTGACCCACTACTTGCCTGATGTACTCATTGGGCTCACATTTCACTTCAGTTAATTAGTATAACTTTTCATGGTTCCTTGTGTTGTGCCTTTGTTTATGTTGTCCGTCCTGTGAAAACTACTACCATCTGCTTCTGCAGAGCTTTACTGATTATTCCAACTCATTCCTAAGCCTTGGGTCAGGCCCCAGTAACCAAGAAGCCTTTCTTCTCGTTCCTTCCCTGGTTGGGTTAGGTAGTTCTAACAGAATGAGACTGGAATGTCTCTGTTGTTTCACTTGTTTATTGTTATATTTGTAGCTTCCTATCCCACCAGACAGTGAATATTTGAAAGGGCAAGGGTTACCTCCTATAAAACTTATCCCGAATGTTTGGCATTTAACATGTTGTCATTGTTTGGATGGATGAAAAAATATAAATAAGATTCTAATATTTAGAAGGAAGATTCAACTGGTGTCCCTTAAGGCCTTTAACTTAAGATTTTGTGACTATGTTTCCAGGTGCTTATTTTTCAGGCTTTAATACACTCATATCTTGATAACCTACAGGCTAAGGGTAGATCTCGTGATTTAAGGACAGCATCTCTGCTTGAGATATTTTCTCAAGATTTCAATAATTAACAACTCACTATGGCAGCAGCCTGTGATTTCTTTATCGCCAGTGCTCCACCTGTGTTGGCAGACTGGCAGAAGAAAAATGCCATAAATACAGGATGTGCCTTTTGTTGGTGGCAGCAGCAGCGAGAGTGTGGGGCTTTGGCTCTCACTCAGCAGCCGGGGTGCAGCCTCAGTAGGAGTGTGCGCTCATGGGATCCGAATAGTAACCGTCTTCCCCCCATTTGCTCCTGTAGCCGGGCCAACAGAGTGGTAACCGTTTCCCTATATTAAAATCCTCCTCCTTGTTAGAAACATCTCTAGTAATTTCTCTTTTTCTGATTGAACTAACCTCTAAAGAAATTGAGGCTCTGACAGGTTATGTGACTTGCCCATAGGTCATAGCAACACTCTTGAGTGGCTGGCACATTTTCTTTTCACTGTTGGTGAATAAATCTAAACACTACTGAACGTTGGTGTGGCAACAGTGCAACTTTTAAAGGCCATTTTTTTAAAAAAGGGATTATTTTAAGAGGTGTTGTCTAAGATGCCATGCAAATAACATGTGGGTTATGGTACCAGTTTTCAGATTTGGATCAGTTGTGTTGTTTTGCCCGATGTAGAAGCTAAATGATAATCTTGTGCTCTCATGATCATTTATCACCTGTACACTAGCTGTGGAAAGTACAGAATATTGACTTTTGACCTGTTATGGGTCCGGGAACTTGCCTTTGCTTTAAATTGTAATCATTTGGGTTTTAGATGGTAGGTTGGGGGTGGGGGTTACTTTGGAAGGCTGAGATTTTAATAGCAGGGGCCTTAAATAGAGTGCCATGGCAGACTTGACAGTGTGGCTTTTCTACATATTAGGATTGTTTAGATCAATAAAGAATGCAATACTGTTTGATCTAATTAAAACTGTTAGTATGTAACAGGTTTATGGTTTAGTATGTTAGTTTAACTAAAACTGTGAGTATTTAAAGTCCCATAAAGTCAATAGCTGTGAATAATCCATATATGGAAATGAATGAATGAATGACTTAAACTTTTTGAGTGGCCAGGAATAGATCAGATACTTGAGTTCTGATCTGTGGGCCATGTTGCTAAATTCTCATTTTATCTTATAGTTCTTTACAACATAGATGAGTCTTATTTCAGTTTTCTTTACCTCTAATAATCATTTTTTTCCATTTATTTTTATTAGTTGGAGGCTAATTACTTTACAGTGTTGTAATGTTTTTTGCCATACATTGACATGAATCAGCCATGGATTTACATGTGCTCCCCATCCTGATTCCCCCTCTCACCTCCCTCCCCATCAATCTAAAGATACCTAGTTTTGAATAACCTGTAAGTCTTTCTAAAAGATGATAACTTTAAATAATAATAGAGTCAATAACTCTGCTCATAGTACCATTGCTACCTCCACATATTAAAATTGACTGTCCTAAGAATATACTAAATTTAGAAATTAATATCAATGTTGATTTCTCAAGTTTGAACTTGACAGTCTGCAACCTATAATCTAAAACAATGTTTTGTTTTTTCTATTTTTCTTTCTAAAGTTCTTTCACCATGCCTGGGTCACTTCCTTTGAATGCAGAAGCCTGCTGGCCCAAAGATGTGGGAATTGTTGCCCTTGAGATCTATTTTCCTTCCCAATATGTTGATCAAGCAGAGTTGGAAAAATATGATGGTGTAGATGCTGGAAAGTATACTATTGGCTTGGGCCAGGCCAAGATGGGCTTCTGCACAGATAGAGAAGATATCAACTCTCTGTGCATGACTGTGGTTCAGAATCTTATGGAGAGAAATAGCCTTTCTTATGACTGCATTGGGAGGCTAGAAGTTGGAACGGAGACAATCATCGACAAATCAAAGTCAGTGAAGACGAATTTGATGCAGCTCTTTGAGGAGTCTGGGAATACGGATATAGAAGGAATAGACACAACTAATGCGTGCTATGGAGGCACAGCCGCTGTCTTCAATGCTGTTAATTGGATTGAGTCCAGCTCTTGGGATGGTATGTTGCATATTTTTCCAAAGAAACTCTCCTTGAGGATGAATAGGCCCAAATACCATTTGCAGATTTTTACCAGTTCTGCTTGTTTGAACGTGTTCAGAAAGATAGCTATGACTTTCAACTTATTTGATTTACAAATTAGTTCTCTTTATCATGTAGGATAAAATTATCTATCAAAATTTAGAATATTTTTTTTCTTTTCCAAAGATGGGAAATTATGATACATTCTGGGAAAATACAATACTTTCAGTTTGTATGTATGATAGGGTGTCAATCACCTCCTTGTATACTAACAAATAATATTTTTCAGGACGGTATGCCCTGGTAGTTGCAGGGGATATTGCTGTATATGCCACAGGAAATGCCAGACCTACAGGTGGAGTTGGAGCCGTTGCTATGCTAATTGGGCCTAATGCACCTTTAATTTTTGAACGAGGTGAGTGGGGAGTATTTTTTTTATTTGTACAATATGCTGAGAAATTTAAAAATTAGAAGCTTGTACTTGGTGTTCGTTAAATGCAGGCACTACCTGCTAAGAGCTTTACGTGTATTATCATATTTAGTCTTCATAGCAATCCTATGACATAGGTGACGTCCTCCCCATTTTACAGAGGAGTAAAATGGGTTTAAGTAGGGTTGCTAACAACTGGGAGAAGTAACTTGCCCATAGTCATATAGTAATTTGTTTTCAATTCAGAGCAATTGTGATCTCCCAGTTAGGTGTATGAAACTTTCATAAAATGTGTATCAGGAGGCCTAGGCCTGTCCATGGATATTGTTATGTTTCACTTCAATCACATACTTGTTTCACCTTGTGATTTCTATTCTGCAAGTGATGAGTTGACTAGATTTAAGAAAAGTTCCCAGATAATGCAATTTGCTTACTAACATACATCAGGAAGCAGAGTTACATGGACCTCTTCCTTTTTTGTTCTAATAGGACTTCGTGGGACACATATGCAACATGCCTATGACTTTTACAAGCCTGATATGCTTTCTGAATATCCTATAGTAGATGGAAAACTGTCCATACAGTGCTACCTCAGTGCATTAGACCACTGCTATTCTGTCTACCGCAAGAAGATCCATGCCCGGTGGCAGAAAGGTGGACTTTATCAATTTTCCTTGGTTTTGCTATCTGTCGAGGGTAGTGTAACGTACTCACTGTCTTTAGTGAGAAACTGCTTCGTGGGCATCCTTTTTTAGTGTTTTCCTTTAACCATTGCTTCCTCACCCGCCAAATAGCATAGTTTTCCCACAGTTTCTGGTAACATGTAATTTAAGAGAACAGGTAAACTTTGCAAATGAAGTTTATTTCTGTAAAAATACTTAGGATGACTTAACCCAGTAAGAATATCAAAAGTAAGATAAAAAGAAAGTAACTTGAATCTGGTACATATTCTGAGAGAGGTGGACAGTTGCAAATAAATTTTAGTTTGCAACTGTGATCCGGAGAAAATGAATGGAAATAAATTACCAAAGTGACCCCCGACTCCCCACATAGTCTTTTTGTATTTGACCTGTGAATTCATGGGCTTCCCTTGTGGCTCAGCTGGTAAAGAATCCTCCTACAATGTGGGAGACCTGGGTTTGATCCCTGGGTTGGGAAGATCCCTTGGAGAAGGCAAAGGCTACCCACTCCAGTATTCTGGCCTGGAGAATTCCATGGACTGTATGTATAGTCTATGGGGTCGCAAAGAGTTGGACACAACTGGGTGACTTTCACTTCACTTCTGTGAACTAAAACTTGCTGTTTTAGTGTCATCATCAATCTCTATCTTTAACCCTGAGAAAGTGCTTGAGATACTGAGAAGGACAGTATTTGAATTAAAACCATGAAAGCACATAGTATTATATAAAGTATGCTTTTTCCATAGTCCAAGTTTGCTTTATAGGGTTTGTGAGAGAGGGTTAAAAATAAGATTCAATAACAGATATTAGGAAACATAGTGGCTTTAGATAAGAAGCATTCTTGAAGTATGTAATATATACTGTTTACCAGTATTTAACAGTACAGTGATTTTCTAACATTTATTAGAATCTGCAGTAAGAAATAGACTTTGCATTGTTATGTGCAGTTAAATGGAAACTAATGTCATCAAATTTTTTTGCTCATGCTGCAAGTTATGTAGTTTACTCTTTTCTACTTTTTTTCATTCAGCCAAAAAGACAACCTCTTAATTTATTAAGATTTAAAAAAAATACTGGCCTTGATCCACTAAATTGATAACACAGCCCACTAATGGATTGTGATACTTTAGTTTGAAAACCAATAATAGTGTGTATGGTTCTATTTCTGGATGTCTTTTTGACACAAATTTTAAACCATAGAGATATTTCATTATATAGTATATTTTTTATTGCTACTTAAAGATATAAAGACACCCCAGTCCTGTTCTAAAATCAGACTTCCAAAGTTAGTGGCTTAAGTGGATTTCATAATTTCTTTGGATTTCCCTTTCAGAGGGGAATGACAGAGGTTTCACCTTGAATGATTTTGGTTTCATGATCTTCCACTCACCCTATTGTAAGCTGGTTCAGAAATCTCTAGCTCGGATGTTGCTGAACGACTTCCTGAATGACCAGAACAGAGATAAAAATAGTATCTACAGTGGCCTAGAGGCCTTTGGGTAAGAGGAATTACGATTTTTCTCCCTTCTATGTGAGAGTATTTTTTTATATTAATTAAACCTCTGTTTATACAGACATGAAAATTTTAGAGTCAAAAGAAGTCATCTTGTCTAACCTATTTAATCAGGGAAGAAACCGAGTCCCAGAGAGGTGGTCACTCACCTATGTGAATTTCTTTAGTCTTTTCCAAACTCAGATTTTCTTATTTCCTCCTTTTAGATCTGTTCCTGTTGTCACCTTGATAATATAACCCCTCAAGTGCCTATATTTATACAGCAGTGTCTTCATTCTTCTCCCTGCCTCTCCTCTGCCCACATCCGTTCTGCCCTTGGCCACTCCTGATATCTGCTCTCATAATCCTTCCGTTTTCCCCACTTTTGGGGCCTCCTGGCCTGCTATGCCTGTTAAACTCTTGCTGTTTCTCCTGTGTCCCTTCTCCATCTGATAAAGTATTTTTTAACTGTTTAACACTTGGCTCCTATGAATGTGACTCTTCTAACTAAATAGACAATATTATGGACTTGAAATAGTAGTGTATTCCGTTTGGTGATGACAGAGCTGTAGTGGATTATTAACCCATTAGAATTATGTTCTCTTGATTATTAAAGAAAAAAAACTTTTCAGAAAAAGGACCATATTTGTACAGCTGCTATGTCTTACCTAGCAATTGGCATACTGCTACTTGGTGTTTAATAAATGGGAAATCAGCATCATATACTTCTATTAGAATAGTAGTTAGGTCCAGTAATTAATATAGTAAAAATAGAGTCTTTGGACACTGTAAGATTATCTTTTTTCTAAAATTTTCAGGGATGTTAAGTTAGAAGATACCTACTTTGACAGAGATGTGGAAAAGGCATTTATGAAAGCTAGTTCAGAACTCTTCAATCAGAAGACAAAGGCATCTTTGCTTGTGTCGAATCAAAATGGAAATATGTACACATCTTCAGTGTACGGCTCCCTGGCTTCTGTTCTTGCTCAGTAAGTATAGATTTCCATTGCTTCAGTCCCCTTGTTTGGGGATGTTACATTTCTGAGACCAGATCTGGTATCAAGCATGTTGGTGGCACAGAGTGGTCTTTTACTTTCAGGTCTTCTAGCCTATTCTCTATTGACTTGAAGGCGATACGGAATGAGGCTATAGTTATTTATCCCAGAGTACTAAATTTCACACTAGCTTTCCCTGCTGTTGTTCTCATGGTCTTATTTTTCTTGACTTACAGTTGAACCATAAATCCCCAGTTGACAAAGTAGTTTATTTTAGAGCATAACTTTTCTCAACTCCATCATTCCTAGAGAGATGAGAACTCTCTTGTTTTCAGTCTGCTTACTGTAAACAGTAAAACTTTAGGTCAGATCCCTAGGCTTAGGATGAAGTTTATTCCAGCTGTGGTTTTCTGCCCACTGTAGTAGGATGAGTTAAACTTTAACTTAAGAGCTTTTTTCCCTCCTACATAGGTACTCACCTCAGCAGCTGGCAGGAAAGAGGATTGGCGTGTTTTCTTACGGCTCTGGTTTGGCTGCCACTCTTTACTCCCTCAGAGTCACACAAGATGCCACACCAGGTAAATGCTGAGTCTTTTAACAACAATGTATTGAGAACCTACTGTGGTAAGGCTGACTTAGCAGGCTTCTCAAGTGAACGCTTAACTCTCTTCATAGATGTTTATGACATTTTAATCTTTATTACTTCTTTCAACACTCTGCCCAAAAATTCTGCTTTAACTGGGTAAATGGCAGGATTATGTCTGAGTCAGAATATCTTTCCTTCTTTCCAAGTCAGGAAAAAAACCTGTATAATGAGCTTAAAGATTTTTTTTTTAATGGTATAGTGTTTGACTTTTCTTTCTTTGGCAAGTAATTTTATTTTATCTATTATCTCATTAAAAAAATATTTCTTTGTTATTGGGCCACGTGGGGCCTTAGTTGCAGCTCTGTGCGGGCTGCCCAGTGCCTGGGCTTTGTGCTTGCAGCATGCCGGCCTAGTTGCTCTGAGGCATGTAGCATCTTAGTTCTCCAGCTAGGGACCAAACACGTGCTCTGCATCACAAGGCAGTTTCTTAACCACTGGACCACCCAGGAAGTCCCTTTTATGGCATTTTTAAAGCATTGATAGAGAAAGGGAAGTGTCCTTATTTAAGGCGGGCAGCTTTTGAGTCTTCACACTAATAATTGAGACTGATCATAGGAGTGAATAATACCAGGCCATTTCTTGTAGGCTTGGTGGTTTATTAAGTTATCTAATGTCTATAGGGATGTGGTCTTAGCTGTATTTAAGGATACTTTTGTGCCCTCCCTGAGCAGGAAGGAGCAAAAATACAGAGAAAAACGGACTTGGCATTATTCTGAAACTGTTGGTTGACTCTAGACAAGTTATTTATAGTTTCACATCCCACCTATTTCCTCAGCTGTCTACTGGCCAAGGCTGAACAAATGTCTAGTCAAGGCTCATAGGAAGCCACGTCAAATAAATAACATCTTATCTTTTAACTAAACAATAGCCTGTAGTTCTGAAAGAAATGAAAAGTTGTTTTTTCCCTTTGGCAGCATTCTGTTCAGGCTTTGGGATATGTATACTATTTTTAGTGTTTTATAATGTTGCAATTATTTGCTATTTTAGGGTCCGCTCTTGATAAAATAGTAGCAAGCATATGTGATCTTAAGTCAAGGCTTGACTCAAGAACTTGTGTGGCACCAGATATTTTTGCTGAAAACATGAAGCTCCGAGAGGACACTCATCATTTGGGTAAAAGCATTAAATTGTTAATACACACCCAGAAGCCTACTGGAGGGCTGTTTTATTACCAGATGAGTTATGTGTTATAACTCCTTTTTCATATCCTCTGCCTTTCCTTTAGCCAATTATATTCCCCAGAGTTCCATAGAGTCCCTCTTTGAAGGAACATGGTACCTGGTTCGAGTAGACGAAAAACACAGGAGAACTTACGCTCGGCGCCCCTCGCTGAACGACGACACTTTGGAGGAGGGAGTAGGTCTTGTGCACTCGAGCAGTACAGCCGAGGTGAGTAAAGCTCATTGGGTTTGGTCTTGGGCTTTGGTTGGATAAGAAAATCTCCATCCCCAGACCTCCTGACTGAGGTGACCTCACTGAGATTTATCCACTTAAAGGAATGTCAATAAATCAGGGTGATTCAGAACCTGGGCTTTGGGAGTGGGTTCCAACTGTGCCATTTTCCAGTTGTATGCAGTGCTTTGCAGTTATTAGTATTTTTTAGTGAATAGTAAGTACTAGGTTTTTTTTTAAGCAATACCAAAGTTTAAAGCAAAACTGAGAAGACTCACCTGTAGTTTGTGTCTTGGTGAGAGATGAAGCAGGGCGTAGGTGTTGAGCCCCTCACATACCTTCTCTCAGGCCGTTGTCTAATCTTTCTCCAGGTGTCAAGAAGGAATAGTAATTGCTCTGACTGGAATTCCTATTACATGCTAGTCACTTTTTAGGTTTTCTATGTAAACCCTTAGAGAAACCCCCTTGAGGTAAATGCTACTGTACCCATTTTAGAGATGAAGCTGAAGGAAGTTAAATGACTTGACCAAGCCAGGCTTCAAACTACAGACTTGAAAAACTTGGAGGTTATTTATTTTATCCACTCAGCACAAATGTGCTGAATGCATAGTCTTGCTTTTTGAGGTAGCAGATCAAGCCACGAGTGTTTGAAATCAAAGGCAAGATATAACAAGGGAAATACTGGGTATGGTAGATAGATCTCCGTGGCCCTCCTATCCCTTGCTATAGGGGTAATCATATCATAGGTTCACCATAAGGTAAAGAATGGACATTTTTCCTCCCTCCATGAAAAGTTCTATAGAATATATACTTAGCATAAGCCTTTCCAGAGCTGCCCTTTTCCTATTAGAACTTTAGTTAGCAACATGTTTCTTCCTGGGGGAAAAAAACTCTTAAGAGGCAACCACATTTTTCTTTTCTCTTGTTTTTAGCATATTCCAAGCCCTGCTAAGAAAGTGCCAAGACTCCCTGCAACAGCAGCAGAACCTGAAGCAGCTGTCATCAGTAATGGGGAGCATTAAGATACTTCTGTGAGGTGGAGGACTTCAGGGGGGATTGGGGGAGCGTATGGGAACGGTTGGGGGAATGGGACATCTGGGGTCAATTTTAAAAGATTACATGTTGCTTAAATTTTTACGTGACTGACATGGAGCCTGGAAAACTGTTGTGTTCTTGAGAAAGTCTCTTTGCTCAGTTTGCTAACATGCTTCCTGTTGTGGTCTAGCCAATGCTTGCTGTACCCGAGTGATGGATGTTAAGGGCTCTGTAAGACTTCATACCTCTCTGGCCATATGTATGCATGAAGCTTAGTTTTTAAATGTAGCCTGAAATCGTGCACTTCTGGCAAGGAAAGCAGTGGTACTAGTCTCTGATTTTAGTTTTTTTAAACATGTAAGAATTTTATACTTTGAACAAACAAGATTCCTGAAGGTTCCTGTGGTTTTTGAAAAAAAAGTTTTTAGTTTAGGGAATGTGTGGTTTTAATGTAATATGCACAAACCCGGTTTGAAAATGACAAGACAGACACACTCTTTTTCTAGAATTTGTGAATTCTCAAGAGAGGGAAGAGTTGGGATGGTAACACTGGTTCTGGTAACTGTTGCTTTAAATCCAGGCCGGCAGTGATGAGTTACTGTCATGACCTCTGAACAAAGGGATGCCAGCACTGAGCAGACTCTGGTATAGAAAACATGGTACCTTTGAGGGCTATGGATCTGCTCCCTAGGTCTGCTCCTGACTCAGTTCAAAGTGTATTTTGCGGAAGAGCCTTGAGATGTTATTGGAACTGCGTATGAGAAAGCTTGTGGCTGTGATCCTTCCCTTGTACCTTATTTTGAGGAATAAATAAAACATTTTTCTGGCTGCCTTTCAAAAATTTAAAACAAAAAGGAGGATAGGGACATGGCATTGTGAAGTTATTTCTAATGGTTTGGTATTATAAATTCAACTTTTAAGACTGACAGCCTAAATTCATGTTGTAAGTATTCCTTTCCTTTTTTGTTTTTGTATCTGTTCAGTGAAAATTAAAAGATTCAACTCAACTTTTTTACATAGTGTGACCAGCCAAAAAGTATTCCACTTCTCAAGGTCTGGAAGTAGGATATATAAAGCATTTTCTCAGACTTTTACCTTAAAAATAACAACAATAACAAACTATCACATGGAATGAATAAGAAGACTGGCTCGACAGTTTCTTAGATCTTTCTGGTGCTGAACTATGACATGAGCCTTATAGATTGTAAAATAGAGATAGTTGGAACTAATGTACAGAATTAAATTTTTTAAACTTTATTTGCCGTTGAATTCTGTGAAGTTTCAGTTATCTAAAATAAACTTACACAAATATGAAATGTAATGTTTCAGATTGCAAGGTAATATGTAATGTAGTGTTTGTAAAATACTCTTAATATTAACTAGTGGTGTTTTGATTTGTACAGTCATGATTTGTTGAAATGACTTCATTTTAACATACACTGATGTAGATTAATAATGTAAGTTCAGATTTAAAGATTGATGGGGAAATGGTGCATGTAATACTTTTTGCAAGTATCGGGAGTTCAGTAGGTTTTGAAAAGAGTAATTTAACTTTTGGGGTGTCAGGAAATGGGTTTTCTCAAAGTCCATTGCCGGCAATGGGCAGGCCTAGTAATACTGGCACAGAACATTAATTGTACACCTTATTAACAGTGAGGTGGATAACTTTGAATAAAGTTTTAGAGAAATATTTCAGATACTTGAGTATTCTTTTTTTTCCCCTCCTGAACTAACAGTTTAGGCAAGAAAGCAGCTAATAGGCTATTTTTAAATGCAGGCATCCATTTCATTTCAGTTCACTGATTCAGTAACTCTTTCACCAAAATTTGTAAACCTGATATAAGCAGGGTACTCTACTTACATCACTTACGTCAGAAACAAAGATTTACAAGATACATGGTTTTGCCTTCAAGGAGCAATTGTCTAGTATGGAGGAACATATACTGATAGTTTATTATTCTTATACTTCAAACAAAGAAATTAACTCCCAAATTAACATGTATAAATTTTTCCACAAATAGTTGTGAAGAGAGTTACTGTGTTTTCTTAACAACAACCAAAGATTAAGGGTTGGCAATTAAACATTAAAAGCAGATTTTATATCCAGCATAGAACAGCCTGCTACCAACTAGAGCCTCCACCCTGAGTGTCTCAGGATGCTGGTGTTCTCCCAGATGTTTTATAGAGAGAACTTTTACATTGGCAGTAATATTGGATGAGATAATCTCAATCGCTATGAACTTTTAGGATTATATGAACCGGGAATTAAATCAGAATATTTTCTAGTACTGATCAGTTATTTTATCATGTTGTCATGTCTAGATTCAATACTTAGTAATGATTTTATTTTCTGGGCCAGCCTCCCAGTTTCTCTGGGTGATTTAGAAGATAAGGCCTGTGTTCTCAAATCCTGCAGTTCTAGGAATTCTAGATCCTAATTCTGCAAAGTCTAAGATCCTAATTAATATGACTTTGAGAATTCAATCCTTCCCCTTCTGCTTTTTGGAGTTTTTGCAGTTAATTTTTTAATTTTTTTTTTTTTTTACCTTCTGGATTTTGTTTATTTCATGAATAGTGATGGGTACATTGAAGAGGAATGCTAGACAGAACTCAAACAGATGCGGACTGCTACTTCTGATCCTCCTGGGACTTGGTTGAAACCCTTCATCTCTTGTTTGCTGTTTGAAATGTCCTGACGCACTAAAGTAGAAGTGGAGAGACCAAGGAATGTAACAGGATCTTTAAATAATTTAGAGCTATGTAATCTTCATATAAAAGCAAACACTTTCTTTAAAATTTCTAGCAACCACTCTTAATTAAATTAGAAGTTCCTATTTTTTTCCTAGTTAGTGGGAGAAAGAAATAATTGACCTATTGGTTCCCCCCCCCCCCCCAAACTAGTACAAAGTCAATACTGTGGTGCTGAAGATGATGAATACCAAGCTTCAGGAAGTTTATATATTATCAGGGGTCTAGCTTATAACAAAAAATGTACTTTTCATTTTAAATGTTTAGAAGTGCAAAACAAAGAATTCACCTTTTCTTTGTCTTATTTCATTGCTGTGCAGGCATCTAGAGTAAAAAATAATGAAAGTTTTGAACTAAAGCTTCCTTTTGCCGCCAACTCTTTCTGCATGCTATTAAACTAGCACCTCCACTTCATCTTATCAAAGCCTTGTTGACCTTTGGGGATCTCTGCTCAAGATCTGCTTCCTCCCTGAAGGCTGCCTGGACTACCTGAGTAGTAAGCACTTCTCACCCTACATATCAGATTTCCGTATTCAAACTTGTCAAGTACTGAGGCATCTGGCCCCTGCCTATTCAGTATCACTAAGGCCTCCCATGTTTTCATTGCCGCGGCTTCTCTGCTCCTCAGATATGCCAAGTTTATTCCACCCTGGGCGTCCCTGGTGGCTCAGAGGGTAAAGAATCTAACTGCAGTGCAGGAGACCCAGGTTCAATCCCTGGGTCAGGAAGGTACCCTGGAGAAGGGAAGGGCTACCCACTTCAGTATTCTTGCCTGGAGAATTCCACGGACAGAGGAGTCTGGCAGGCTACAGACCATGGGGTCGCAAAGAGTTGGACATGACTGAGCGACTAACACCTTAACTTCACTTACTCCAGCCTTAGAGCCTTCCATCTGTGGGCCCCACTTAAGGCCTCCTTTGCCCTGCCTTCTACAGCAGTCACATTTGTGACAGCTGTGTCCATGCGGTCTCTGACCAGGATCTCAGAGAATATGATGGTACCTCTCTTGGGATTCCTGCTGCACACCCCTCGTTTTCGTCTCACTGTGATATGAAGTCCAAACAGAGGTCATTGGAACTCATAATTTCATGGCCCAGAAATACAGAGAAGTTAAGTTCCCACAGGGCCACTCTTGACAACAGTGAACCCTTACTTGCTGGTCGATAAATGCGTCCTCCTTTCCCTTGCTTGGGCAGGGGAGCCTTCCAGGCTGGTAGTTCCTCTGCTGAACTCCAGTCACCTGATAGCTCACTTGGTAAAGAATCCGCCTGCAATGCAGGAGACCCTGGTTCAATCCTGGGTTGGAAAGATCCCCTGGAGAAGGGATAGGCTACGTACTCCAGTATTCTTGGACTTCCTTTGTGGCTCAGCTGGTAAAGAATCCGCCCGCGATATGGGAGACCTGAGTTCAATCCCTGGGTTGAGAAGATCTCCTGGAGAAGGGAAAGGCTACCCACTTCAGTATTCTGGTCTAGAGAATTCCATGGACTATACAGTCCATGGTGTCACAGAGTCGGACACGACTGAGAGACTTCCACTTCACTTCAGCCAATTTGGCAATACATCCTTTTATTGGCTTGCCTCTTTTATATTTCATTTCTGCATTGTAGGAACATTTCCCAAATAAATGACTTACATGGAAGCCTCTGTCTCAGGCTCTGTTCTTTTGGAGAAGCCAGGCTAATACAGTTGGTACCCAGAACAGCCCGACCCTCAGGATAGATGGTTGGAGCTGGTTTACCGACAGTCACGGCAAAAACCCCACTGCTATTTGTAGTAGGCAGAATGGTTGCTGCCCCCCAGCCAAAGATCTCTGCCTCTGGGAACCTATGAATATGTGACCTTACATGACAAAACCAGAAGTGATCATGGTTGAGGACCTTACAATGGGGAGATATCCTTGATTGTCTGGATAGGCCCAACATAATCACAGAGTCTCTTAAAAGCAGAGAACCTTTCTGGGCTGTAGTCAGAATGAGATGTGACTATGAAAGGATGACCAAAGAGATGGCCTGTTGCTAACTTTGAAGATGGGGAAAGGAGATCACAAGCCAAGGCATATGGGCCACCTCTACAAGCAGGTAAAAGCAAGGCAGTGGGTGCTCCCCTGATGAGGAACCAGGCCTGATGCCACCTGGATCTTAGCCCAAAGAGACACATGAAGGACTTCCGTCTCACAGCACTGTCAATAGAACACTAATGTGCTATTGGTAAGCAGGGTGCTGACAACCCTGGCTTG